ATCCCCTTACCGGTCATCTTTTTGAAAAAAAAAAATAAGGGGTTTATTTAGTTGCAAAAATGGCCAATATCAGATTATCCAAGCATGTTTTTTGCTAACTACTTTTTTTTTTTTTTTTCCTTTTTGTCTTTTTTCGTGTCCGGCAACAGACCGCAACCCTCAGTGTCGCGCCTGTACCGGATCGGGACGGCAACGGGATTGCAACCCTCGGTGCTGTGCCCACCCCTTGCTCAGCCAGTGAGCGGGAACGGCAACGGGATTGCAACCCTCGGTGTTGTGCCCACCCCTTGCTCAGCCAGTGAGCGGGAACCGGTCTGTATGTGGGATCCGAACCCTCGGCGGGAGCGCCGCCGTGCTCCCAAGCTGCGCACTGTAGCAGTGTGCCACTGGGCTGGCCCTTGCTAACTACTTTTTATAGAGAAATAATTTATATGGAATAAAATGTACTTAAGTGTCTCCAATTATATGAGTTTTGGCTAATGCATATTGTTTCCTACCATGGATTTTAATGAATGAGATTTCATTTTGGATTTGTACATAACAAATATGTAACTAGCAGGCAGTTTACAAGCCTGTACTTGAGTGTTGTGAATACAGAAGCTGTAAAAGCCTTTATATTTGTCGGCTTGGGCTGCTAAAACAAAATACCATAGACTGGGTAGCTTAAACATCAGACATTTATTTCTCACAGTTCTGGAGGCTGGATGTCCAAGATCAAAGTGCTGGCAGATTCAGTTCCTAGTGAGGGCCCTCATCCTGGCTTGGCTGCCATCTCTCTGTGGCCTCACATGGCAGAAAGAAATAGCTCTGGTCTTTCTTTCTTTTTTTGCAAGGATTTTAATCCCATCACGGAGCCCCACCTTCTTGACCTCATCTAAACCTAATTATCTCTCAAAGACCCATCTCCAAATGCCATCACATTGGTGGTTAGGGCTTCAACATACGAATTTTGGGGACGACAGAAACATTCAGTTCATAACAGCCCTGAAAACCAAGTCTGAATTTATCTTTCCTAGTGTAGTTGTTTAATTTTCATAGATTTATATTTTATAATAGTGCTTCACCTAAAACTGTTAATGTTTTAATAGGTGGGGTATAGTTTAGCCTGGCCAAATCTTCTGTCCACTGAAGACTTTAAGAAGAATTCTGAATTCAAAGAATTGCTAGAGGAGAAACCATTAAATTTCTATTATTATTCTTGGTTCAAGACACCCTGCCTAGTACTCTATGAAATGGGCCTGCTGCTATTTAGCAGGAAGGAAATCATTCCTTTTTTGGTCTGGAATTAATGACAGGACTGTAGCTACATGGTGATCAAATGATTGTTTCACTACCATAATGCAACCTTAAGTTAATCTTGAGAAATTCACTATATCATATGTGTTAAAATAGCCCTGTGCTTTCTCTGTAAAGCAGTTGCATTCATTTTCTTAGTGTTTTTGCACATTTTATCAATACTTGACATATGGAGGCAAATAATATATGGCTTTGTATGTTAATATGTATAAAAATACCTATACTAGACCTTCAGATTTATTTATTGGGACCTGTGTTTAAAATTTGCTGTACCTGATTTCTTCCCTTTAAAAAAAAGTTCAGGAGAATGTAAAATATATAAACTAAATCAGTGAATTAAAATTACATTGACACTCATTAGAAGGCAGGTATTTTTAATTGCACTCTGAGGTGGTGAGCATGCTAATAGTATTGATCTGATCCTGACATCTTGAGCACAGGTGCTGATGGTCAGCTCTGTGCCCCACGAATATGTATAATCAATAATAATTTTAAAAAGACAGGTATTTTATAGGTAACTTCTTTGTTCCTGATAAATGTTCATAATTGGATTGGAATGAGATCTCCCCAGGCATAGATAGATGGGCATTCTGCTAATGAAAGAGCATTAGAAGCCCAAGACTTGTGGACAAAGAAGAGAGTACAGATAAGATGTTTTACTGAAACTGCTTCCAGAACTATATTAGTGGCTTAGGTATTAACGCTTAGTTATAATAATGGGAATTATAGGGAAGTGATTGGAGAACTACATTTTTATAGTTCTCTCTCTTACATGCTACCTGCCCTCTCCTCCAGTTTTAAAATTAAGAAACTGGTTAGGAGAATTATGAGATGATTTGTGTGAAAATGTCTAGCACTTTGCTACTAGGTCCTTAATTATGTTAGCTTCCATTTCATTTTATTTAATTGCATTGCAAATAGCCATTAACTCAGAGATGGAGGCAAAGTATATGATTCAGATTACATTTTAAACATTGATTTCAGTCTATATCTGAGGGTAGAACAAGGACTGGTATCTTTAATGGCCCTTGTCTGTGAAAACCAAACCATGTTTTTGTTGATAAATTCAAATAGTCCAATTCAAAGGATAACTATATTGGAGAAAAAAATAAAAACTAGTGGGGCTGGCCCAGTGGTGCACTGCTACAGTGCGCCGCTTGGGAGCGCGGCGGTGCTACCGCCGCGGGTTCGGATCCCACATACAGACCGGTTCCTGCTCACTGGCTGGGCGAGGTGCGGGCACAGCACCGAGGGTTGCGATCCCGTTGCCGGTCCCGGTCCGGTACGGGCGCGACGCTGAGGGTTGCGATCCGTTGCCGGACATGAAAAAAGACAAAAAAAAAAAAAACTAGTGAGGAGAGAATATGTATTCTATTAAAACCATTTCTTGGTTCGAGTTAAAATTCAAACTGCTTTGAAAAAAGTTTTTATATTTACTTATTGTATACCTTTTCTTCTCCCTCTAATTGAAGAGAAAACATGCCATTAAAAGAAAAAGTTTCATTATTTCTCATCTGTTTTTGTTGACAATCATCCTAGACTCCAAAGAGCTAAAGCTGAAGTAGCATGAAGGACTTTGGATCTTGAAAGTAAAAGATTACTCAGGGTGGCTTATCCGTGGCTGACTATTCTGACCAATCATAACAAGGCACTGTGAGGGAGAAAATTGCTCCTGGATGCAGCAACTAAGGACTCAACTCATTCTGTTAACTTCAGCAACTAGAATCAATTTGCCTAAATAACATTTTAACAATAAAGTTTTTGCAAATTATGCAAATTACCATGGTAAATTCCTTACAGCCTTCCGCCTTCCCCCTTCACCCCCACAACCCTAACAAAACGAAACTTATTCAGTTCTCATGCCAGCTTCTGTGGAAAGCATCCTTAATCTGATTTAGGTGTTCTTCTGTGTTTCCATAGCACCTTAGAAAATTGGTAAGAGTTCTTAGCACATGGTACCATGTGAGAATTTTAGGTTTGCTTGTTTGCCCATCCTTCAATAAACTCAATGAAGATAGAAATACGATCTTACTGGGTTCATTTCCCTGGTACCTGGAGAGCAAATCATAACAGTGTAATCTCTGGAGTTAGAGCTGGGTCACTGCTATTTCTTTTTTGTGTGACTTTAAGCAAGTAACTTAACATCAATTTCCCCATCTGTAAAATGGAAATGATAATAATAACCTCATGAAGCTGGCATGAAGCTCCTAATGCCTAATACATAGTAGCACTTGTTAAAGGGTAGCCATATTATTAATAGCTAAGTAAATGAATCAGGCTAGAATCTGAGGTTGAAGATAATACCTTTACCTGACTCCTCCAAACAGACCATTTTCACAAAGAGCATGAATGTGGTAGATCAACCTCAAACAAGACCTATGTAAGAAGAACACGGTGAGTCTGGATAACATTAGGTACAATACACAATTATGTTCAGTGATCAAAAAAGGTTTTATAATGAAATCCTACAGGGGAAAGGAACTAAAACATGAAAACTAGCTGCCATAAAAGCACTGTAAATCCTTTTGTTGATGTTTCACTGTAATTGTAAGATGTATGGGTACCCTTCAAAAGAGGTCTATTTTCAATAATTTTATAGTAGGTCACTTATAAATTATATGCAATAAAAATCTCTACTTGGCTTTAAAAAATTTTATATTCATTCTTCTATGAAGGATGATTATGATCTTTTTCCTGAAGAGGAAATTGAGAATTTACACAGCAGTTAAGTATCTGAAATAGGGCCTTGTAATATGGTAGACAATAAAAAGTGTTGAAAGAATGAATGATTGACTTGTCATGGTCAAGCAAGTAGCAAATAGTGGAGCAGGGATTCAAATCTGGCTATATGACTCCCGAGCAGTTTAAAGCCATAAATATATTTCTTGCCAACATACCTTCCCCCATAGCTATCCAGAAATTGTAGAAGTAGACTAAATTGGAGTTCTTCTAAAATAATCTGGCAGTCAGTGTTGGTCCTGGCAAGCCTGTCTGCAACGTCATTGCAGAAGTCTGCCTGGCAAGATCAAGAAACATATCTAAGGAATTACATAAAGGCAACCACTAAAAATATATTAAACATACGCATAGATTCATATGTAAAGATAAAGGGGAATCTATATAATAACAAAGGTTTCTGGAACTCTGAGCCCCTTAGTTGAGCATTTGAAACTCTCCATAATGTAGGTCCTTAATATTTTTCAGGTTGTGTGTATCACAAACCCTGCTTCACATCCCCTTACACTTCTTCATTGCTTTCTACACCTTTCCTTATATTTTCTAATCTCCATTTCTGTTCAAACTATTCTATGTCTGAAATCATCTTCCATATCTCCTTTTAGAATTACCATCCATCCTTCTTCATAGTACTTTAAAGTACTCTCCCTTCTCCACAATTCTTAAATCTAACTGTTTGAACCTCTCTGAATAGTTTGTCTTGGGGTCAGTGATTATGTCTTTTATTTCTGTATTATTACAAACAATAGGAATCAAATACTTATAAAATGAATGAATTATGAACTTCTAGCAAGCAGGAGTCTTATTCATTTTTGTATCTCCCAAGTAGCCTAGCATTTTGGGAGATAGGAAGCTGAGTTGTAAAGAGCTTAGAATCAAATGTAGGTTAGGAATTGGGTTCCACTTCTTTAAAGCTTCATGAACTTGGGGAATTACTTAACCTTCTGAACCACAATTTTGTTAATAAAATGGTACCTAACAGGTAAGCTCAAAAAATGGGAAACAGTAGTTCTTTATATGCAGTTCAGAATATGCAAAACTGTTCTTTAAATCTTTATAGGATTGAGTGGAATCACCTTCTAGTGTGCCAAGGATATACTAATGAATAAGAAGATATTTGCCCTCAAAAAGCTTATAATCTTGTAATCAGGACTTCCACACATGAAACCAAGCAAACTGCACAAGACATGCCATAAATAAGTATTAAATAAATTATGTGATATAGAAATTAAGAGGAAAAGAGGAGGTCAATAATAAATACAACTTGTAGGTCTGAAAGGTGGTCTGAAAGCTTTGTAGTATTTGGAGGTGTTCAAATGAAAGGAAGATGAGAACAATATGAGGAGAGATTGAAGTGAGCATGATGCGATGTTTTTGACGTGAGGGGAAGTCAGCCAAGCTCTAGAATTTTGGAGAATAGTTATGAAATAGGTGTACCTGTCAAGGGCCTTGAAACTTCAAGTAAGCTTTCCATTACTTGCCACTTCCAACCTCAAATTCATTTAATGTACATATATTGAACATTGACCAAGCCTATTATTTGAGACTCATTTCCCACTACACTTCTCTCATCTGTCATCGTAGTCACACTGAGCTTTTTACCTTTTCCTGAACATGGTCATTTTTCTGGCCATACTGCACTTACTGTCTCGGCAGCATTTGGCATAACTGATCCTGCACTCTTAGTTGAAACAGTTACTTCTTTTGGCTGCCTTATACCTCACTGACCATTTATCAATCTTCTTTAGACTGACTGACTTATCCTCTGCTTGATTTCAAATGATTGGATTGCTCCAGGGCTCTATCTTGGCTCCTCTCCTTTTCCTTAGGTAACCTGTTTTCCTTAGCTGATTTCTTTGGCCACAGAGTCTAAACACTGTTTACATACTGTCGACTGTCCTGCTCTGAGCTCTTACTTGACCTTTTATATTCAGCTGCACATGTCATTTCTTTTTGGATGTCTAATAGGCATTTCAAACTTAACATATTCAAACCTTCACTGTCAGTTTCTCCACCCAGCTGCCCTTACACCAGTTATTCTTGTTAATGTAATTCTATCCTCCTATTTGCTCAGGACAGAAACCTTGGGATTATGTTTTCCTCTCACACTTCTGTAAGTTGCCTAACTTCTACCTCTAAAATATATTGTGAACTTGACAACACCTCACCATCACTACCACCCTAGTTCAAGCTACCATCACTTCTTGTCTAGACTAGCCTATCTGCTCTCCTGACCTCCAGTCTTTCCTCACTGAAGCCAGAGCAGCCAGAGTACTCTTGTATAAATGTAAATGTAATCTCACCATTTTCCTTTGAAAAACCCTCCGTGGCTTTACTTTGCAATTAGTACTTCAAGGACCTACATGATCAGACCCCTGTTATCTCTTTGTTATCACTCCAGCCTCAATTTATATGTCACTTCCTTAGAAATGCCTTCCCCCACTATTCTGTTGAAAGTAATTATCTTCACTCTGTCACTGTTACTTTTTATCTTATCATTCTGTTTTATTTTCTTCACAGCACTTAACATTCTCTAAAATTATTCATTTACTTGATCATTGTTTGTCTTCTTTACTAGAGTGTAAGTTTCATAAAAGCAGGGACCATGTTTTTCCTCTTCACCACTGTATCCCTAGCAATTGGAACAGTGTCATGAACATATATGTAGGTGCTCAATAAGTGAATGAACGTATTATGTTCTTCAACTTGGTATTTCCTTGTCTAAAAAGTGCCACCCATCTCCCATCCCCAAATAAAACAAAACAAAACAAAAAATTTTATCTCTTCCAAGTGATAAACCCTAAGGTCGTTCTTATCCTTCATATTTCATCTTAAATATTTCTTCTCCTCTAGAGTTTTTTCCTGACTCTTTTCCCTTCTTACTGAGACAGAGTTAAGCACTTTATTTTTCATGGTACTTTTTTTTCAATTTCTAAGTTGTACCTATTACATTATACTATAATACCTGTGTACCTATTATATTATACTATAGTTGTTTATATATTTGTCTACCCCTATTAGACTGTGAACTGTTCATGGACAGGAACTATGTATGATTTGGGTTGGTTTCCTTAGCACCTGGCATAAGTCAGTAGTTAATTGATTAATAAATTAATCAAAATCAGAATCTTAACTGCATAGTAGTTTTCCAGAAGGCAACGTTGCTGTGTGAGATAGAAAGATGAAAAAAAATCTTGCCTTCTGGAAATTCACATTTTATTCATTATTCAGTAAATATTTATTTGCAGTGTGCCAGCCATTATGCTTAAGTGCTAAAGGATACAATTACAAATGTCCTTGCTTCAAGAAACTCTATTTTAGTTGGGTATAATTTTCTTTTAATATTATTGATTTGGATCAATAATATTTCATGATATATATTGGTGCTTCCTGGGTATTTTTAGTCTGTAATTAACCTATGGACTCTGTGGGAGACAATAATACAGACACATTAGCTGCCTAGTTCTAATCTTTATGTTGCATGTATGTTTATCATAACAGTTACAGACTGGCAAAGGAAGAGTGATGAAGGCCAGAAGAACCATGTAGCACACCCAAAATATTTTCCTGATGCCATAGGCATGGCAAAATTACATTTGAGGCAGGCAATTCAGATCATTTTAGATATAGTAGTGATAGATTTTTATTTTCAATACTGATGATTATAGTGTTTCTTAATATTGACATAAAAAATAGAACCATGACTTATGTTTCCTAATTTATATGGCTAATTTTATATACTCTTCATGGTTCTGACACACTTCTAAACCTTTGGAGCTTTAGTTAAAAAAAATGTTGCTCTGAATTGTGCAGTTTCTGAATTATATATATTGCTGAGTCCTAAGTGAAAGCACAATTATTTTGAAGGAATTTTGGTATAGCAATTAAAATTCTATAGATTTCAGTATCTTCTGAGTTTTAACTGAAGCCTAATTTCTATTCTTGATAAACATTTATGAGTATAAACAATAGTTTTATATTTCTGTTCTTCCAGAGTAGCTATTTGACTTGAAATTGAACCACAGTCTTTGAGTATACATTTTAGTAGCATGTTTGGAATTTGATATAATTGACATTTGGTTCTCTTGGAGGAAATACATAATGCAGATAATAGATTCTATAGATTTCAGTATCTTCTGAGTTTTAACTGAAGCCTAATTTCTATTCTTGATAAACATTTATGAGTATAAACAATAGTTTATATTTCTGTTCTTCCAGAGTAGCTATTTGACTTGAAATTGAACCACAGTCTTTGAGTATACATTTTAGTAGCATATTTGGAATTTGATATAATTGACATTTGGTTCTCTTGGAGGAAATACATAATGCAGATAATAGTATATGACTTGTAGAAAATTCGTAGAGTATTTAGAATTGAAGTTTTAAAACACCTTGGTAGAGAAGGAGTTAACAGGTTAGCTCTCCCTTGGTTGTTCTCAGCATGGTCTCTTGCCTTTAGGAACTGAAAAGATGATAACATTGGGCCCAGACATGCCTGTGTGGAGGTTAGGGTACTCCTGGGGTTTTTGCGGCTAGCTGTAAAGCAAGCTAGAACTTGTTCATCTCTGAGTTCCTTGTTTTTCTTTCAACCCTTTCAGTGCCCTGCAGGAGTCATTAAATCAAAACTTCATGCTGATCATCACCCACCGAGAAGTCCAGCGGGAGTACAACCTGAACTTCTCAGGAAGCAGTACTATTCAAGAGGTGAGTTATGTCTCACAGCTAAGGAATAAAGGTAGCTCATTATAGCTAATGTTGACCCTGTTAAAGAGGGCTTATCTGTTCTAGTTGGAAACTCTCTTTATGTTTCATTATTGGGTTCTTAACTTTAATTGGCTGGAGCATCAGTGATTACTGTAGATATACTAAATGACTTGACCTAGAAAGATAGATGTAAATGAAAGCTCTTGATAATTCTTAAAGTAGCTATCTTAAAGCCCTGCTTAAAAATAACTCATTATTAGGTAATATATTTCATGGTTTCATAGTAATTGTAATTATTCAAAATATTAATTTGGAAATTGTTGACAGCATTCATCTTGGAGGATTGCTTAAATTTTATTTGAAAGGTCACTCTCAAATATATTATTTGTATTGTGTCCTCTACATGTTTCTAAGAGGAATTTGAGGAGGCTTTTCTTAAGCATCTCAATCCCAGCCTTGGATAGTATTCCTAAGATGCAGTTGGAGACTGTCATTTAGCTCAGAATATCTGAGAAGAGTCTATTTATAGTGTCAATATTTTCTTCAGTGTTGCCAACCAGAGCCACTGTTTCAAAAAAGAACCTCCTCCAAGAGAGAAATGTTACCTTCTTGGTATGCTTTTGGCCCCACCCACCTAAAAGTCAATAATTTATCTCCATGGGAGGGAAAAAAACATTTAAGGTTATAACAGTACTTGTGTTTAGAAACATTGAAATGGTAACTGTGTCATATTATCCCTCATAAGTTATGAAATCAACAGTCATTTGTATTCTAATTTTTTAAAGAGAATTAATCATGCTTAATCTTACATTGTTTCATAAATTTTTTTTTTAGACTGCATTGCTTAAAATAGTTACTAATGTAACCTTGAAAGAACAAGTCATTTTCATCCTAATCATTTTTTCAGAAGTAGATGAATTGTTTCAGTAATGGCTAGACTATCAATGGTTTTCTTTGTTCATATTTGTCAATAAATTTCAACTTCTGAATTTGGCATGTATAACTCATTGATTTAAGTTTATTTTCTCCATTGATCATTTGAATAGTTTGTTGACTAGTAACTAAAGACTCTAAAATTTTTTCTGGCTCCTAAATTGACTCACAGGTTTGAGTTATTTGATTTTTTCACGGTATCAAATATGTATAAATTGCCATTTCATTTTTAACTTCTATATTGTGTACTGTATCTTCTAACTTGAAAATTTTAATTCCTTGAAGAATAGTTTTTGTTTTTATATTAGAAATAATGTTTTATTATGGTTCTCAGAGTTATTACACAGTCTTCATGTTAGGAAAATCTACATTATATATGTAAATACAATTAAACAAGAAAATTCAGTTTCAAAATAATCCCAATTTAAACAACAAAGCAAAGATGATATGGTAATTTTCATTCTGTTGTTGATTTGTCTTTTTTGATTGAAGAATAATACTCATATAATGGATGGTGGGTAAATAGAGATTGCTCTTTTTTTTCCTGATTGAAATTTTTATGCCTAAATTTTGCCTTTTCTTTTTCTTTTCTTTTTTTTTTTTTTAACATTGCCAGTGTCTATAATTTGGGTGTGTTTCAACTTTCTCCCACAAGAGGGCAGACAGGACTATTAAGCTGATAGCCTAAAAATGCCATTCAGTGTTTTCAAATTAGCTTCTCTTATATTAACAAAAAGGAGCATAATGGCCAAGTTATTGTTTGATTTACAGATAATTGGCATATTGCAGGGAAGAGACTTAATTTCACCCTTTTAAATTAAACAGGGAGATTTAAAAAGACATAAAATATTCATTAATGTTCGGTGATTATAAAGTAGTGGCATATATTTATTTTGCCTTTATTACTGTTTCGATGGGAAAATACTGCAAATATTTCTGAAATCGAGTTGGCCATACTGACAAGTTGAAATGTTTAAGCAGCGTTAATGCAATCTGCTCACACCTGATATCCTATGCAGAATGATTCAAAATGACTACATCAATTATTAAAAGAAATGTTTAAAATTCTGTAAATGTGCCATTGTGTGCCACAGTTGGCTGAAACTGTTCTTCATGGCCTGCTATTTAGATTATCAAATATATTTTAAGCTTCAAGGACTTGAAAACAGTAAATCTTTTTCATTCCGTTTTCTAAATATCATTTGAAAAATGTTCCAGAAATATTTTTTGCAAAGACAGATGTTCTTATGTATTTCTTGGCAAGAGTTTGGTATCTTCTTTTTATTTTTTTCTCCTTTGTTAGGTTAATTTAAAACAATATTTTGAAATGCTAGTGCCAGGAAAAATAAATGCAGTGTTTCTAATGTCATTTGCTTTTCTGTGAGTAAATAGGTAGGCATAGGCTCTTTTGTTGTGTACAACTTGGAAAAAGGATGTAGATCACCTCTGCAGGCCTATTTCTATGACTTTTCTCCTTCAACTTGTGAGATACCTGTGGTGATGGGGGTGGTTTCAGAAGGACAAGGTGCTCTTATCTACAGCCATAAAATCCACAGTGACTCTTAAGTATGTGCATTTTTTCTTGTTGAGTGATTGGAAGTCGGTTTGATTACACCAAGATAAAAACATACTCTTGAAACAATTTTGCCATTTTATCTTATAAATGCTTGTACTTTTTTATTTATGCGGAAACTTAATGATACCACATATCCTAAATTGTAAATTAATCTGTCACCAATTTCAGGAATCTCTTTTCAGTATTAATAGGTTTAAGGATGAATTTTGACCAAAATAATATATTGAACAAAAGGAAGAAAAAAAATTTTAAAGCCCTTTTTTCCAATGTAGTATATTACTTTTGTGTTTTAGGTGTGGGAAAAAAAGTTTTTAATTTTGAAAGCCTTGCATTTTTAAAAGAAAGCTTTTGGAATATTTTCCTCCAGAGGGAAAAATTTCTATTAAATGAAACAATTCAAAAAGGCACTATGATTTCAACTTTAGTTAGACAAAATACATTTTTTAAAATACTTAATTAGAAAATAGAACTAAGATGTAGTTTGAATTTCAAATAAACTCTTCAGTGACCATATGGTCATCTAAGTTAGTGTTGATAAACCGATAGTTGTACAAGTGTTTGTTCATTCTGGCTCTGTGGTCTGCTGCCTCACAATGCATGACTTGTGTCCTTGGGTGCTCTAGATTTTAATTACACTAGTTAGTTTTTGAAGGGTTTTGTTTTTTATTTTGATTTTGTTTTAAGCTCTTTACATCTTTCCACTTACATTATGCTCCTACTTGAGGAGAAGGCAGTGACTGTTATAAGGTCAGAATGAAGAGAATTGCAAGTAGTCTTAAGAAGAAAAATACATTTCTTTTTCATTATGACAAAATTGCTTGTAAAAATTATCAAATAATATGGGAGTGACTTTGTGACAGTCTATCTTGTTTACCTTTTTGTGTCTTAAGTTAGTTGCTTGTCACACTTAAAAATACTGAATTTTCTTAAAAATTTAAACAAGCTTATCTTATTTTAATGAATTTTCTACACTGAGAATTCAGATTTTTAAACAGTTAATTGTACAGATTCTAGTAATTCTGTCTAATACTATTAAAGATCCGTGGTTACAAATGCACTTGGGATGGGTTAAATTAAAGGGAGAAAGAAGATTGATTCGCCTTCTGCAAATCCTAAACCCAGGTGTGGAAAAGGATATAAAGTCCTTGAAATCAAGCCAACTTTTCTTGGAAACTGATTCTTTGTTGTCTGTCTTACTATTGCAAAAGCTTCTGTTAGGCAAAATATCCACTTTTCTTTGTAGATGTCATACAAACTTAGGGAACATACACATGACCCAGAGTAACAATGATAAGAAACCTAAGTATTTTTAGTGTGGAATCACAGAATATTTCTTGATCTATTACAGTGAGAAGCACAATGAATAGCTATTTGAATTATTTAAATCCTCTCCCAAGTTTCACGTTATCCCAGAATTCTCACTGTTCTTATTAATGTTGATTTAATTCTTAATGAGAATGAAAAGGGAAAATTGAGAACTTATAAAAATATATCTTACAGGGAGTGGCAAAACATTTCACTACTAGTACCATGTTGTACAAACTAGTGATTAAGTGGGAAGCCAACAGTTTCAATTAGTATTAAGAAATGACTAAATACTTAAATCATACTAGTCCTTAAAAATAATCTTGGCTAAATAATTGTGAAATCATGAGACTTCTGATTCTGAAAATTTGAACCTCATGTCAGGTTTTGTGTGTTGTGTCTATTCTACTCGCTACTTTCTCAACTTGCTTGACTAACATATATTTTTTCCTTTAATGCTGGTGGCCAGTAACAGTAATTAAATATGTAGTCTTTTACAGATTGTACTAATGAGCAATTTTCTAGTAGTGGGTTGACTATAACTTCTTAAGTAACATGCCCTTTCTGTAAATGTTTTAAGCATTGGGGTTTTTTTTTGTTTGTTTGTTTGTTTGTTTTGTTTTTTGGGTTTGTTTGTTTGTTTTCTAGTATGGGGAGGGTAGGGGATCCTGGCACAGAATTGAAGAGAGTGGGGAAGTTCAGAATGTGCATATGCAAGAGTATGAATTAAGTTGTGTACTTATTTAATTAAAAGTTTAAGTGGTTTGTTTTTACTGCAGGATAAATGGCATATGTTAGCTCATTTAGAATGAACCAGTTTTAATTAGCATATATCATAGTTTGATTTTTTTTTTAAATTTGAAATCACAAATGACATCTTAGCAAGAATGAAAGAGATATAATTTCTTAAGAGCTAGGCAATGAATTCAAGCCTTTATTCAGCTATCAGAAAGGGAAATTATGAGTTTCTTTTAAATATGCATATATATTATTTCAAGTTGCATTTTAAAACTGATATCTGTTGAAATCACACCACTTCAAATGAACAAATTAGTAATGATCATTTTATAAATATTGAGGTTTTCTGTGATTCTTAATAAATTATCCCCTTAGGAAATAAGTTTAGATAATATTTACAATGCAGCCATTTGGAACTGACAAGTCTTTTCCCCCCTATGGAAGTATT